ATACATTTCTCAGATTTGGGCAGTTGCCCTGAAGCATGGGCTACCTTTGCTGGAAGGGAGATGGAATCCCATGTTCCCTCGGTAACACACAGACTTGCTCCAAAGCTTTCAGCTAACTACGTGTGACAGTAGAGCCATGGAGATTTTTATCATATGACATGTTCCTTATTCTTCTTATGGATTTTGAAGATATCAGGGATGTAACTAGAGGGATGTTGGTGCTTATCCAATCATATAAGTAAGCTTTTTTCTCCTTGTGTTACCTTATCATGTTGAGGTGATATGTCCCCTTGAGCAGATATACACATTACTTTAAGTTTTGTTGGAACCAAAGGAAGATCTAGATCCAAATCACAGCTTCTATATTCACTTCATTTATTCAACCGGAATTTCTTACTTATTGTTTGGGATACCATGAAAATGACAAACAGAAGAACTTTTACTTCTCTCTTTTCACTTGCCTGTCTGATTCTTTCTCAATTGCTTAATCGTATGAACTTTAAAACAATATTAAGTAGCACTTTAAACTCCACAAACATACTGCAACTTCCTTTTAATGACATGACGACTGCTGACCACTTAATTACAGGGTAATGACTATGACATATTGGGCTGGATAATTACAAACTTTAAACAATTTGTGGTTTTTCATAACAGGATTCCTGTCTTCTGATCTTCAATAGAGGTTACACATTGGGATCTACTAAAGTTAATTACATGCCAATCTGCAGGAGCTTACTATATTGTCATATATCTGAATCCCTAAGGTCTACTCAGTTGTTTTTACTGATATGGTACTGAACAAGCTAAATGGCTGTCCAGTTAAAGAAAAGATCAGAGAGTTCATGTTCCAGACAGTCCATGTAGTGCCCAGCCCTTCACTTGCTGCACAGTGTCCTTTGTCCCCAGGCATCATGGCATTATGTTGGATTGCTCTCCATGCTCTCTGGGGAAACCTGAACATAATTTGTTTTGCTGGTGCTCAGATGTTTCTCTCTCCACTTTTGTGTGTGTGTTTGTGCCTTAAAGCATGTGTGTGACTCATATAGCCATCTGGGTGACCCAAGCAGTTTTGAGGGGAATAGCTTATGGGATAGCAGCATGTCTTAACCAGGGTCTTAGCAAACCAGAAGGCCACATGAGCACAAACCTAGTTTTCACGGTCATTTATTAAGGCTGCTTATCCTTCTAAATTGTCCTGTAAATCTACAGTCTATGACAGTCTATTTTAAAACTGATGAAACACGTTATAGAGCAAAACACAGTCACAAAGTTGCTATGGGTTAAATAATTGTATGTCCTCTACTTTCATATCCTCTCCATTCATAAAAAAATATAGTTTGTGACTTAGCAATAGACAAAGTGAGGGAAGAGTCCCAACCCTTCAGTGGAAGGTCATTCCTTGGAGGGATCCAGGGCAAATACCTCTTGGCTGTTCTTCAAGCCCTGCTTTGAATAGCTGAGTGGTACTAATCTGGATCATGTAGCATGGAATTCAACCTAAATCTAGTGCAGATGTGCTGCAGCAGAGACACAGAACATGAACACTTTTTTTTTGTCATCTTTCAAGATATTTTCCTTTTTAATTCCTGTCTCATGCTCATCGCCTTTCTCTATTGGATAACCTTCTCATTTCTAGATGTGTTTAAACATTTCCAAACTGGTACAGTCCTCCTTTGGATCAGCACAGAACAGAGTCTGCACTAGCTTTTATGTACAAAGAATAACATAAATACTACAGACGAGTGCATTTAAGAGGCCAGTAGAAACTGTTCCTTTTGCACTGACCCCTGCACTAAGAAGCCCATCCTTTTCTGGAAGGTTCAGAAGGTACACATGCAATCAAATTTTCTAAAAATCATATCCTCATTATATCCAGAGAGAGTTGGCTCTGTGGGAATCACAGCGTTTGAATAGTCTTGGAAACCTGACTGCAGTTGAGGGTTCTCAGCCTCAGATCCTTATCATGACCAGAGAACATGTATGTGTAATTGAGACAAAAGGCTGAGACTGTAAGAACTGTAAGAACTGTAAGAACTGTAAGAACTGTAAGAAGAAATATGCCAATCTCTTCAGCCTGTAGATTGGGTCTCAGTGCTGTTTTACTGTCATTGATGTGCATGCTAGCTCTGGATATATTGATTCCAACTTGTTCTCCAGAACTTCCATGTTTTTTACAAGGTGACATATTGTTGTTTTAAAAAGTTATGCTCGATATGGGTAAGCCACATCCATTAAAGTGATATCCATCTGCTGAATAGCAGGACCACGATTACATTTTTTAGCAATGGTAATTGGAGAGCAGGGATCATCTTGGTTAGGCTCTGTCTGTTAAACYGTCTTCCAGAGCTGGATTGTAACGTATAGAGTAGTATTGAACAGTCTCTTTGCAAAAAAGATAAAACTTAGAAATTCCAGATTGCATTTGGAATATTTCCTCCTTGGCTCTCCCAGTACGGAAGCCAATATCTGCCTGATGCCCAAGCTAGGAGAAATTCCTGAGCAAGGGAAGGAGATAGTGTTTCCCAGGAGGTACACTCATATATGGGTGATTAGAAAAGCAAGACCTGTAGCTGTGACTGGATGACTCTTACAAGCCTTATTTTCAAAGACGTTATTTTGCTGAAATAATTTTCTGCTTATCACCAAGTAATTGTTTGGCTATTATGGTCATTATTCGTAATGGAAGAACAACTTAGAAAGAAAGATGATGGAAATTTCAGTGGCTTCCAGTGTGGATCCAATAATTTGTTTGCCTTTTAAAGGAAACAAACTTGTCATCTAGGGGAATTTTCTGCCAGAAGCATTGAAGTACAGCTTGTCAATTTACAAATCAAAAGAGAGATTGATTTTTTAAAATCCCACTGTGTGCCTCAAATGAGACATCAAAGCTGACCACGAGGTGGAACAGACGAGGAGTTTGAGAAAGCCTGATACAATGATGAGGAAATGTTGGGAGGGAGTGAACGGCCATGGATGCGAGACGCAGGAGTATAGGCAGGAGTAAGGCTCTCTGTGTCTGCATAACCACGAGTGGGTTTGCAGGCAGAGAAGGGCACATGCATCCTGCCTGCTGGACAGTTGCCTGTTTCTTCTGCTGCTGCTGGAGCCCATAGCTAAGATCTAATGAGTCAGCTGGATATATCTATTCTGTGGGGTTGAGGAGCCAAGGAGAAATTGTAGGATTGATGTGAGTGGGGCAAAAGGAAGGCAAAAGTTCCTCGGGTCCTGACCATCATGTCTGTTTGCATAGACATTTTGCAGTTTGCAAAAACTGTTAAAATGTTTTAAATTGCATCCACTTGTAGTTGTCTAGATGTTAGAATAAATCATAGATCAGGGAGGAATGTCCTTGTGTAGGCAAAATGTAGCCATCAAAAGAATCTGTAACATAAACCTATGTATGAGATTTAATGTACCTCTACACGTATTTATCACAGCATGATGTGAAACAGGTTGTGCAATGGAGCAGGCCTTTCCTAGGAAGAGGGCAATGCTAGGTGTGACAACCAGAAAGTTCAGAAAGAACTTGCTCTGTCCGGGTCTCTGCTGCCCACCACATTATGGCCACATCACTGCTGCTTGCACAAAATGACCRTGAATGACTGTGGTGGGGCTTGCAATTCCTTTTGCACTGATGTGAGAAGGGCAGTAGAGATCAGTCAGGCTTTGCAGTCTTTAAATGACAAAAAAAAAAAAAAAAAAAAAAAAAAAAAAAAGATTCCCTCCACAAAACACATGGATTTGAAGAGAAGAACCTGCTTTAGCTGAAATGTTTGTACATGTCTCATAAAGATTAGTGCTGTCCACCTGCACCCTCTCCCACCTCCAGATTTTGAACAGCACTGCAGGAGAAACCAGTATTTCCGTGCAGCAAAAGCAGTTCCTGTGTAAAATGTAGCAAATAAATCTCCAAGTCGCAAATAAATCTGTGTATGGTTATTCAGAAGAGCAGAGATCACTGTTGTGTACAATGGTAACTGTGGAGACTTTGAATGTTTATGTGGGAAAAATGCTTTTAGCTGAGACCTGAACCTGGAAAATTACTGAAATTCAGGAATGAAAATGACCTTTTCTACAGCACTAGCTGCATTATAGWTTCATTAGGTAAACTGCATTTTGCTTAGCATTGTCTCTGTGAGATGAATTGCAACCTTATTTTAATGAACTGGATTCTGAACATAGATGCTCCAATCTGTGCTTTTTTCAGCATGCTTTTTCTCTCTAAAGAAAACAGAGCCACAGCAGAAGTGAAATTCGGAAGATCACAGACTTGAGGGAAGATTTCAGAGCAATTTGTACGCTTAGATCTGCAAGGGATTCATTGCCTTGCCCAGGCAACTAATTGCTTGCAATAACAATGATAAAATTGCAGACCTGTACTCACACAATTTACGTGTGATTTACAAGCCGTGCTGCCAGATGACGTGCTTCTGAGACCAGACTTGAGATCATGGGCAGAGAAGAACTGTGCTTGTAATCCTAAGAGCCTCATGCCAGTATTTGCACAAATAACACTGCATGTGGTTGCCAAATATTCTTCTTGTGCAACCCTGTAGGCATAGTCTGCCTGCAGAGAGTGAATGATTTTACAAGGTTCATGCAGATACTGTTTCATCCTGGCTGGAGTCAGGAGTTGCTCCAAAACAGGTGCCCTTTTTTCTTTTTTCTTTTCTTTTTCTTTTCATGCCTAAAGTCTGAATTCCATATCAGGTACTAACAAACATGGCTCATCTCAAAGAAAAAATCATAATTAACTAAAAGAACTCATAATTAACTTCCACTGAAGTTTGTTTGGATCTTTCTCTACATAGAAGTTAAGCTCTGATGGTAATTTGACATGCTCTGAAGCACACACTGTGTTCTGTGTTACTGCCGCTGAGCCTACAGAAGAGCTAAACTGCTTTAACTGCACAGTGTATGTGTTTGTGTATAGAGATCGCTGACAGACCTGTTTTTCTTTTTCTCTTTCTCTTCCTTATCTTCTTCTGCATTGGCAGAGCATCTTGGATTTGAATTAAAGGGTATGGAACAACCATTCATTTGTTAATCAGAAGCCATTAAGAGCTGCCCACATTATATTTATGGCTTTAATGGGATGATTAAAAAATCAGCTGTTCTACTCTTTTTGCTGGCACCAAGATAGATGTTTGGATGAAAGAAAACAAACAAAGCAAAACACAAAATCTAAATGTAAACATATAAAAATGCACGTGTATTTTTAGCAGCACTTTTTTCTTTGTTTCACGCAGCAGCCTGGTGTGTGTGGCGTGACTGGGATGATCCAACTGCCATACATTTCCTCATTCAATATGTTTTTGTGTTTTTAACCGAAAGGCAGCAGTTTGTGTCAATCTAAGAAGTTGCCAGCAGGCACAACATAGGAATGAGCAGATGTTCCAAGAATGGGAAGGCAAGTTTTAGGAAGTAGATTAAGGCTTTCTTAACATTGCCATTCTGGATCCACAGATTCCCTCCGGATCCTAGGAAGTCAAGGTGAGGTTGCCRTTCCTCCTTCCCAAAGCTGATTTAATTCTTCTAGTCCTGAACTAGGCAGAGATTACTTCAAGCAGGGTGAAATGAGCAAAGTTAGTCCTAAAAATAGTGTGCCTGGGAAAGCCAGCAGCATGGAAGGCTTAATGCTGAGTGTCGTGGTGGCAAGCTAAGTTTGGAGAAACACTGCAGCATGCTTTAGAGAGTGTCTCTGGGCAGTTACCTTTTCTGTAACGTTTCTCAAATTATTTTTCCTTCCTTCTCCTCAGTCAGTTTTTAGACAGTGTCTTTGGAATAAGCACTTGAGAAAGTGAAATTTTGAGCCTAACTTTGCCCTGAGTGCACACTAAGTGTAAAAGGGAGGATTTGGTCAGATAAGAGCAGAGAAATTTATTTATTATTTAAACTAAAAATATTAGTCCAACAATGTCAGCCAGAGCAGAAAGCTTTTGTTTCTGTAGGTTAAATTCTCTTCCTGGGTCCCTGAGGTGGAGGGACATAGACTAGCTGAATCTGGAGAAATTTATCCCAGCCAGTTTTCCGTGTCTGACCCTCTGGGATTATATGTAATCTTCCAGCAGATAATTCCCTGCTGCCAAAAGTGTGCAGATTCAATGCCAAGAGCTTCAGAGAAAGTGGTGCTGCTAATACTAATACACTTAAATAACTTCTAAAATCAAGGATTTTTGACATCCCTTTTGGTTGACCGTTGTCCACTTCCTCATCCATTCTCAATGCCATCACAGACCTGTGCACATCGTGTTCCCCGTCTGCGGTCATCTCTTCTCTGCCCTCTGTCTCTCATGTTGCTGTGACACCCATGGCTGGACTGTGATCCTGTCTACATTATGTGGCACAACACATTTTGTTCATAGTATTCGTTGCTGTAGAATGACAATGCTGCTGATGATGTGGTGTTTATAGAGCATACAGGCACAAAGAGACACGTCCAGCTCCAGAATCCTACCTTCTCCAGCACAGCACTGTTGTGTACATTCTCTTATTTTCTGTTTGTCATTGTCCAGATGTTTTTTTGCAACTGGGTTATCAAGCATCAACTTTAACAAGATGTTAGGAGCCAAGCTAAATTGTTTTTAATTTTTGCACCGATAAGGCACAACCTCAGATTTTATAACTTCATATAGCAAAGCTGTCAGTTCAGAGAACCTGATTCTGTGTTTCTGATATTACCAAGCATCCTTCATAGAATTCAAGTGGGAGGTTCAGGACAGCCGGATAAGCCAGCATCAGGGTCTCATCGTGACATGCTCACCAGAACTGAGGCTGGCATTTGAGCCTTGTGTGAAAAAATTTGCCATATAGGTAGTGGTTTAAAGAAAARAGACAGTCATGGTTTTGACAGCTTTGTTTTCTTCCTCCCTTCCCCACACTACCTTCACTATGATTCAAAGGGAAGGGAAATTATACTTGGAAAAAAAAAAGTTGTATCAAAAGAATGCAACTCTCGAAAAAATCTTTTGAAAAAAAAAATGTCCTCATGGAAGAATCTGTGGTGAAAATTGATCTCCTACCCTTCTTTTGGTAAACCATAAGAGAGTAGAGATGGATAGCAGCAAAATTCTGCCCATTGTCATCCATCAYAAGGAAATAATCCTGATTTTCCTGATGCTGATAAAAATGCCTTAAAATCCTTGGTCTGAAAATTCAGAAGGGGCTTCATGAGGATGAATAATCTTGTTCACCTTTCTGCTCTGCAGACAGCAACACATGGTGGTGATTGCATGGGAAGCAGATTTCTGGCCTCCTATGTAGCATTATTAAAATCTCGGAACTYAAAATTTTGCAGATTATGGTTGGCTTCAGAGTGAGATCTTAAAAGTGATCTGGATAAACTTTCCTTCCCTTTAAAACCCAAATTAGCATATGGCATATACTGTGGAAGAAAGGTGTTTCTTCCCTCAGAATTACCTTATGCTTCTTTAGAAATGTGTTCATACTGATTAGCCCCAGCTTGTGGAAAAATCTACCCGATGCATGTGCATTTTGAGCTGGCAAGGATGGAGCAGCTAATCCCAGCAACTCAAGGAAGAGGAGTTCCTTGGTAATACCAAGAAGAGAGTCTCAATGCCTGAAGAATGCAGCTCTCATCAGCCAAAATGCAGCCCCTGCTGCTGCATATGCCTAGTAGGCAGGGATGCACCAACTCTTTCTTCACCCTGGGCATGAGTGGCCAATGAAAMTTCCCACAACCTTGGGGGCCTTAGGCCCATGTCCCTGTCTCTCTCCTCCAGTTTCATGGCTTCCTAAAAAAACTGCCCTGGGCAGTTACTGTRGTGGTAGCACTGAGAATGCTGATAAACCAGAAGACTTGTAACAGCTGTCTGAAGGAAAGGGCTGCACAGCTGAAACCAAGATCCTACAGGCGAACAAGAGCAAGCGCACTTCTCTGCCATGGTTGCTGATGCCTGGACTAGGGCATCCGTGCAAGGGCAATAAATAGCCAAAGCAGATATTCCCACCTCAGGATGAGTTCTTTCCACAGAGCAGCCTCATCTGATTCCTCGTAGTAGAAACCACAGGGCAGATGCTCAGCTTGCCTGTRTGACCAGGTCTCAGGTACATACCTCTGTGCTGTGGCTAGCTCTGACATTAAGGAGATGCAGCCTAGTGACAAAAGTGCTCAGTGCAATAATTTGCAGCAAAACAAGAAGTGTGACCTGTCCTTCTTGGAGAATTGCCCCGCATTGGCTATGGAAGCTGGAGATGGGAGTTTCCTGAGATGCCCYTTTTCCCTGTTGATATAAGTGAGATACAGAAAGGGAAGAATAAATGAGTTGGGCACTCCTCTAGGTCCTCCAATGCTCTCTTTAGATCAGTGGAGTGGAACACTGTGGACATTGCCTTTGAAGCAACTCCTCCAGCACTGTAAAGAACCCTATGAAGCTAAGGGCCAGTGTGCAAACTATTTGGCCTGTAGCTTTGGGACATAGTGTGAAGCAAAGTACTAGGGACTATGTTTTGTATCTTCATGCCAGGGCCGTCTTTGTCAGCTTCTTGCTTGGCATACCTGTATTCACGAATTTTTTGAGAATTCAGAAAGAAATACGCTTTTTCCTAGCATTTTACTTACCTTTCTGAAATGGCCAGCTGAGATCGGCCAAGGCACTCGGTTATCTGAAATGTTTTATTATGTTCCTCTCTCTCTTTTTTTTTTTTCACTAACTCTAGACCTTGGGTGTGATGCAGGTGCCTAAGGACAGATCTGTTTCTCTTCTGTTTTTGCCTAYTCCTGTTTGCTAGCGCTAGGGAATATCAGATATCCCACTGGAAATATTTATTGTGGCCTGCTGAAACATACCCAGCACAGCAACCATGGCATGAAGTTTATGGTCTAATCTGTAGGAAAGAATATTTCAGTGAATGCTAAAGAAAGCACAAAACCCAATGACTTTATGATTATTACCTAGCTTGGAAGTTCAAAGACATTGGTCATAGCCACTGAACTAAAATACTCATGGCATTTATGGCCTCAATCCTTCTCTCAGTTTCCCATTTGGAGAATCAAAGTGCCTTTGCACAGTGGAAGAGCTGCCCTTTTCCTTGCACAGATTTGATGCAAGTGATATCCTAGCATTTCTCTGGAGTTTTAGTTAATTTGGATGAACTACTTCACTTCCAGCATGGTGTGGATTTTGGTGCAACTTAACTGATTTTTCTGGCTTGAAAGACAGTGATATTTGGCAGAATAAATAAACAGTGATATTTGGCAGAAGCAGTAGCATGCAGCTTGAATTCCAGCTGTGTATCTGAGTTACTTGGTGCAATTGGGATGGTCCTGTCTCTCAGATAGCAAAAGTGTTGAGGATGCGTTTGTCAGAGGATTAACTACAGTGAATGTTTGACTTGGCAAGGAATTAATTGCTTCCTAGAGTTTTGTTGAAAAGATAYAGCTATAATGTGTTACTGTATTTTAATTATTCCACTCCCTTCTCTTTGTCTAATATCCTATCACTTCTCCATCCTCATTCTGCTTTTGACTGTTTTAGGACGTCCCTTTCAGCACCTACATGTTTCGGAGCCAGTTGTTTGGCAGTTGCTAGAACACCTGTAAGCTCCAGAGCATGCAGCTGCTGCAAAGAAAAAGGTATTCTGGCTCCATTAGAGCAGACAGAGATTGACTGCAGCCTGTGATGAGAAAATCTTGGGGCAGTGCATGTATCTGGTGAGTGTGGGAGTGCATGGGTACTACCCTGTTAGACTACTAAGTTGCTGAAAAGGGGGGATAGACTGGAAGGGCAAGAAGAGCTTTGTGAGATCAGAGACAGAATTTTTCTAGGGGAAAAGAAAGGACAGCAAAARGTATTGTTGAATTTGGAAGGGAAGAGCTGCTGGATGAAAGAGGTGCAGARAGAGAAAAAGAGCAAAAATCTCTAGAGGAGTAAGGTTAGGCTAACTGATCTCAGATTTGGGGCAGCTATTAGACACGGTCAATGAGTTTGTTAGAGATTGGATAGTGTCTTGCTTTGTGTCTGACCCTCACATGGTGCTGGTTCCTGTGGAGCCAGATGCATCCTTGGCACTGGAGCTTGTTTATAACTGTTTTTTTCTCTCTCCATTTGCAGAAGCTGAGGAGCTTTACCAGAAGAGAGTTTTAACCATCACCGGAATCTGTGTTGCCTTRCTTGTTGTGGGCATCGTCTGTGTGGTAGCTTACTGTAAAACCAAGTGAGTATGGGTGGTTTACAGGCAAGTTAGAGGCTTTGGGTGGTAGTGCTGCACACTTTCGTGCTGTTCATCCAAGATGACATTTCAAGGAGATGCTATGCTGTGTTAGTCCCACCAGGCCTCATGAACATGAGCACTGAAGCTACCTCCCAGGTAGAACATGAACAGAATATATTCTTGTSTATACCCTGAATCAACATTGATTCTCCAAGCCAGGCAATGTCATACGACTGGAAAAAGCCAGCTAAAAAGCCAACAGACTGTTTCCTGACCACAGAAGCACACCGGGCTGTGAGCCAGGAGCTCTGKGCTCCTCTGCTCAGCTGGGCTCAGCTGAGCGATTAAGCAAGATGCTCAAGGACCTTGTATGGCTAGTGCTCCCTGCCTAACAAGTATCTTTTCCCCACTCAGCCTGTGCCTTGCCTGGGTTCTGGTTGTCGTTCTGCCTCCTTGAGGCACAGACAGGCTCTGCTATGGGCATGGGGAGACTTTTTCATTTTATCCTTAATGCAATTCAAGGATGTTGCCCCCATGCCTTGGCAAAGCCTGTTTCCCGTTCCCATCTCACCACTCTTCTCCTCAGTGATGACCCTTGTGATGGGCCTTGTCTTACGCAAGTGGACCCTGGACTCAGCTTACCAACTTGCCTGTGATGACAAACACTCACTATTTATTTATTTATTTGTTTGTTTGTTTGTTTATGAAAAGCAGTAGAAGATGACTAACATTGAATGCCCTATTTCTTTCTACGTGAAGCTTTCAGCTACCAGTTAAAACTTCGTGTGGTCAAGACATCAATGAAAACATGATTGTGGTCTCCTTTATGATCAGCTTTCCCCAAATCTCTCTGTGTTCTGTCAAATAAATTTTCTCAGTAGGTTTGTTTTTCTCTGTTCTAAAGGAAACAGCGAAAACAAATGCATAATCATTTACGACAGAACATGTGTCCTGCCCATCAGAACCGAAGTCTTGCAAATGGGCCAAGTCACCCACGCTTGGATCCTGAGGAAATCCAAATGGCTGACGTAAGACTTTTTGTTTCTATTTCAATGAAATGTGCTGAGTGCTCATTTTTCCACCAGGATGAGAGGGATGTGYATATACCTCTGTTGCATATACATAGACTTTACTAGAGAAACAACACACTAAGATACTGCAAAGATGAGATACAGTTATATTTTCAAATCAAAATATTGATTTGAAGAGATCCATGATTTTAGTTTGAAGAACTGAGGATGAGTTTGAGACATTCAGGACAGACTTATTTTGATGAATCAAGTATGGTTCTGTTTTCCTTCCTGTGAGAAGTTCTTGATGTTTCTTGTTTATTAAACTAACCCGTCAAGCCTTACTTTGCAGTATGACGAATATGAGCAGGAGCACTGGGGTCTGGAGCTGCTGCAGTGGCTATGAAGTGCTGGAGCATGTTATSGTGATTGGGACAACACTGCAGTCACCCACTGCCTTACTGCCAGGAGCTTCTTTTACAAGCTGGGGTATCCTCATGGGGTGCCTGTGTCACACCAACAGGAACCATCCAGTAATTTAACACCCAATTCAGAACAGCAGCTCAGTGACTCTTAACCTCAATCATGTGTGAATCCCATTGAACTCTGTGAGGTCTATAGGACTGTTAACATGCTTTAGTGTCCTGCTGGACCAAGGTGTTAAAAGGAATCAGAAAAAGGGAGGGATGAGAGCCAGACTCACACCAAAATGAACTCCCACTCTGGCCCAGAGAGTTGGCCTTTTCCCAAATTCTGAACATTTCCCTTAGAAATTTCCTTTTTCCATTTGCTCTCTTTAATAGTTTGTGGGCTATGCACAGGTATGCCAGTTACTGATGGAAATGAGCACAATGAATCAGTTCTGATTCAGCTCTGATGGGTCACCCTTTGAAATTAAGCCTAGCTAGGTGGAGAGACAGCCACAAAGACAGAGGGAAAAGGAATTTGTAAGAACTACAGCTCCAAACCCTGGAAAACTAGCTCCTGCATGGAAAAAGTAGGACTGACTCTGAAAAGAGATTTGATTGTTCATTTTTAGATGAAGGGGTAGCTCAGCATAAAATTTTGGATTGTACCTAATGTTTCTCTAATCCTTGTGTCCCTTACAAACCTTGTGTGGCCATCTTTTTGATGGTGCTTTGGAGGATTTAACCTGCAAGTATAGCTGCATTTCTACTCAGTAGCATCAGACACATGTAATGGCRGGGTAACAATATCCCTCATGGGAGTCTGTCGAGCTCTTCATACCCTTCCATAGCCTTCATTCAATAGCCCCTTCCAGGGTTCAAAGCACAGAGGAAGAGCAGGGCCACTGCCATGTGCTTTCTAACCTTCTTGCCTCCTCTCTCAGGGTGTGGAGCTGCAGTCSTCATCTGATTTGACCAGAATATGATTTGATATTGTTTCATATGATTTGATTCAGCTCTTATATGATTTGACCAGAAATAATCTGGTCTGCAGAATTTGGCAGTGGTAATGTTGGCAAGCTACTGGCTGACCTAGGTGATTCTCTGTATTTTACAGTACATTTCTAAGAATGTTCCTGCCACTGAACAYGTGATCCGAAGGGAAACAGAGACAACCTTTTCGGGAAGTCATTCCTGCTCCCCATCCCATCACTGCTCCACAGCCACTCCAACTTCCAGCCAGAGGTGATGTATACCATTTTCCCCTCACTTCTTGCTTAGGATATTAGAAGACCCAAAGCCAGTAAAAAGTTGTCCTTTCACCTCCCTATTTTTGCTTACTGTTTATCAGTACGATGTCACACGTGCCTTGTGTATTGTGGAGGTGTTTGCTCGCCCTGCACACATGTTAGGTGTGGAAAGGTGCGATGCTTGACCTGCAGGAAAAGTCCTACACTGTTCCGAGTTTGATTGCTCTGGTTCTTCTTATGGGCCCCTAGTAACTATCATGCCTCTTCCAGTAAGTGAAGGTATTGGCCTAGGAGATCATTTGCCTTTGAAATCTAACTGTGAGATATAGATGATCCGTATTTACATCCTGCTAATGAAGTGTAGATTGCATACATTCACTTTGTAAATCAAAGGATGTCCTGTCTCATTTACCTCATCAATGATGAGGTAATGATAATAATAATCAATGATGAGGTAAATGAGGTATTTGTCTGCTTTCATCCAAGAAGCAATGACTTCTTTCGGGTAAAACTCAAAGGTGCCTCCTGGAAGCTTTCCTCAATACTGAGACATTTTTTTAGGCTCCCAACCCACACTGGGACAGTGGCACGGAGCTAGCGCCCCAGGATCGCATGGGGAGAAGAAAGTACTGTCAGGGTAAAATGCATTTGACTGGTTTCAGATATCAAACATAGCTTTTTCAGGCAAGGYTCTGGTAGCTAAACCCCCATAAGCAGAGAGGGAGCTGAGAATGACTTGCTTGGGTGGAAATGGTTATCTTAGTCAGTCAGTCCATCCACTGTGAGTTAGACAGCATTTTTCCATTTTTGTTTGTTTGTTAACTTTTGAACTTGTGTATTGCAGGCCAACTTTGACTAGGTTTGTGCAAGCTTAAGCCAGGGGCACAGAGGCTCCCATGCCTGCTGAAATGCACCTCTTTGGACTTCCGTACGCACTTCAAAGTCCCAGATCTCCAGGGCCATCTTTGAGCACCTCCTAAAGATGCAAAGTTGTGTCTGGAGGGCAGCATTACCACATAGCATCTGTGAGGAGGCACCTACTTTGCATAGCCTCTGGTTCTGGCTATCTGCCACCTAGTTTACTGAGCCAAGTGCACTGAGCAGGTGTTTCTTGAAGTCATGCCAGAGGTAAACTCCTGGCACAATCAGGTTCCATTTTACTTCATCAGCATCTCTAATGAGGATGCTGTTTGAAATTATAAATGATGGTGGTGGTTGCAGTCAAGCATGTGCCTAGAGCAATGAATAATTAGCAAGTTCTTAGGAAACTTTAATAAGGCCTGCAAGCCCCCACCCATAATCCTCCCCTGGGACAACTGCTTTTAGTGCAAGCTGGGAGTACAGAACTGTTGCTTTCAAGGATCACCTATCTGTGCTATGGAGAATGGTCAGCTTGTTGGCAGAGGTGTGTGAACCACTGATGTTGCGTGCATGAAGCCCATGTTTCTCTGGTGTGTGCTTGTAACCGATCTTCTTCATGCCAAGACTGGGAGAGGGCTGAGCAAGGACTATCCAACATATTGTAGTCTTTGCCTAATTATTTGAAAGTGGTTTTCTCCTAAAAATCCCTTATAAACCTGTGAAAATTGGGCAGATGTGTCTAACTTTGATGTGGCTTTCCACATGGCTTAGGTGGGAGTTAGGAGTCCTTCTACCGGGCTCCTTTTCGGCAGTGTTTCTGAAAGAGGCTGTCTCTGGGCAGTGCATGCAGGTGGCACGCTTGGAATTCTTTGCAGGCTCACCTCGGCATTGCCAGTGCACGGCTGCACACCTGAAGAGCTTTGCAAGTACAAGACGGAATTCCTCAGGGCTCCCTCCAGACTCCCATTCTGTCTCTGGCTATCAGAGGGTAGTGTTAAAAACATGATCTACACCAGTTTGCTTTCCTGTATTCTCTAATTGTAYCTCCAAGAAGCTTCAAAGAAAGGTCAGTTTGGGAAATCAGGCTTTCCTAGTGAGATGTAGTCCAGTGAGACCGAGAAAAGGGACACGGAAGCAGGACAGAATAGAATCTGTGCCTACATGTGGCTTCTTGTAGCAGACCTTGGTGGGGATTCCTTGCTCATTATTTGTCCACCTATGGTTTGATCCACAGACACGAAAGCCACACATGGAGCTTGGAGCGGACAGAGAGCCTGACTTCAGATTCCCAGTCGGGGATAATGCTTTCCTCAGTGGGAACCAGTAAATGCAACAGCCCTGCATGTGTGGAAGCTCGAGCCCGCCGTGGGGCCGCGTACTGTATTGAGGACTCGAGGAGGCCCATGATGCAGTATCGGGATTCTGTGGATTCTCTGCGGGACTCACCACACAGCGAGAGGTCAGGTTTGGCTGCTTCGTGCTGCCCAGGTGTAGCACATCTGTACGATGCCTGTCTGTTTGCCTCCAGGAAGGCCAGGCACTCCCACGGTAGCCCAGGCAGAACTCCAGCTGTGGTACTGACCACAGGAAATCTCTGCTCCAAGAGCCCAGTCTGGCATGTCCGATCTGTGTGGAAGCAACTGCAGAGATGTGACTCCATCAGCTAGTGAGAGAGCAGCTGGCAGCCTCTTTCTCAGGTCTGCTTTGTTCATGGTGGTGCAGACCCCTCACCACACTTGCTTCCACCTTTTGCACGCTGTGGGTGGCCACATGGAAGCTTCCAGATGAAGACCCTCAGGGCAGTATGGCTGTCAGCTGGGGCAGAGGGGAAGGATGATATATCCTGCTCCTTTTTGTTCCTATTCCCAGCCCATTCCTACCTCATGATCCTGCTCACACAGACATCTCATACATCACGAGATGCTGAGTGATGACGGGGAGACATGGACATCTGCACAGCCAGGCCCACCTGAAATGAACAGGAAAAAGGAAAATTGGCAGTATTGAGTAGAATTGAAAGCTACTCCTTGGTAAGAGGTGACACCAAAGGAAAGGCTATTTAGAGAGGGGCTGCACCAGGTCTGGGATGCCACACTGGTGCAGTTGCTGAAGTGGCAAAGAAAGCTGGTAGATGCCTTTTTAGACAGAAGGCTTCTGCTAAGTCAGRGGAAGCACTACCCAGCTGCAGTGTGAGCGCAGAAGGGAACATGTGGGGGTCTCTTCTTCCCAGGTAAGCCTGGCAGCTCTAGAGGGCCTCTAGGGAACAGCTGGCAGGYGGGCAAAAGGGAGGGGAGTTTTGACTTGAGTAGCTGGGAGATGCTACAGGATTTGTACTGGTGCAAGATGAAAATTGCCCCAGCACGTGTATAAAAAAGGAGGCTAGGTACAGAATACAAGGTCCTGGACATCTGTAGGACTCCTGCATGGATTTCAAGGACATCCTTGAAGTAGATGATCTGAAGTCATACTAGAGATGATGGATCAAGCTGTGAATAAATGAAGGATCTGCCCATGCTCATGAATATGGGTCTGATTCAGCAAGGTGGTGTGTTTCTCCCCAAAGGATGAGAGGGGAAGGACTGACTGTCTTGGGGGATTGGACTCTGCACCTCGTCCTCTAGCAAGGRTAGTGCACTTCAGTTCAGCTGGTGAAAGTTCCTTGAGAACTACCTCACAGTGGTTTCTGTGGATGGTGGGTGGTGATCCCTTTGGGAAGCTGTGATGTGGTGGATACCGGAGTGAGCTCAGATCTGAAAGCACCGTTCACACTGCTCCTCATACCACAAATGACCTGGGAAGCGCTGGGTCTGAGAGGATCCTGTGGGAGAGCCATCCCTAGGGAGAACTCTGCCCAGATCCCTAAACATCTGCAGTYGTGAGCAGTGCATACTGCTGTGGGTGCTGAGATGAGAGGTCCCTCACAGCTCCGCTGGATGATGCTGAGCTCTGAAATCAAAGGTGTGTTGGAGGCCCCGTGTGCCCCAACGCTGCCTRTGCAGCAGAGTGGAGCTGTAGCTGGAGGGAGTCTTGGTTGCGCAGGGTCCAAATGGAGGTGTTGCTTCTTCCAGGTATGTGTCGGCCCTGACCACGCCAGCGCGCCTTTCGCCCGTTGACTTCCAGTACTCGGCGGCTACCCAGGTGCCCACTTTYGAGATCACCTCCCCGAACTCGGCGCACGCCGTGTCCCTGCCCCCGGCGGCCCCCGTCAGCTTCCGCGTGGAGGAGCAGCAGCCCCTGCTGCGGCGCTACCAGGTCCCCTTCCCGGACACGCARAGATATGACAGCTATTACCAAAGGAAGACCTACCTAAACGACAGCATGGGGAGTCTGCCCTCCAGCCCCTTCCGCATCACGGAGGACGATGAGTACGAGACAACGCAGGAGTACGTCACAGCGCTAGAGCAGCCAAAGAAAACAGCCAGCAGCAACAGGCGGTGGAAAAAGTCCAAACTGAACGGGCACGTGTCTCACAGAGCCAGAGCGCTCCGGGACTCCTTCTCCTTGAGCAGCGCCTCTTACAGCGAGTCTGACGAGGAGCTGGTGGCTGAGAGCACCCCCTTCCTAAGCGTTCAGAACAATGACGCAGTGAACGCAGATTCCCCGCCGCTCCATCGGCCGGGCGACAGCCGGACTTACTATTCCTACAGCAGACACAGCGCTCGTGGGGAAAGCGGGCAGAGCAGCTTGACACACACGACACCCAAACAAGACCCGGATCCTCTCTAGAAGCCTCACAAACTCGCACACCCACAAACACACCTGTATGGAAAAGGCGGAGGAGGGAGTCAAAACAAAACAAATAAATAAATATTTTTATTTTATATAAAAGAGGAAAAAATATAACAAATAAAATGTTTTATTTTCATTTTAGCAAAGTTGTCTTATAATAGCTACTGGCAAAGACTTTTTTATAGGGAATCTCTATTTATATGTAATGTCTTGATTTACAGCTTCCAA